CCCCAAAACCCCAAAACCCCAAAACCCCACAGGCATTTACTAGTATTGAAACATTACTAGGTTTACTGGCATGTTATAATTCACAAATTTCAGAGGAGCTTGAAGGCTCAACCCAAATTCACAATCAGCCCCTCAGAGCGGCTGGTTGCCTCAGAATTTACGAGAAGCAACCTAAATTTCATGCTGAGTTACTTTTGGATAAATTTTTCAACCAAAAAAGTTATCGCTCACATAGTTTCAGCCAGTGCTAACAAGGGTTAACAGCCCACTAGTTTCAAGAAAATTGAGCTAATAAATTGGAGAGTATCGAATATCTCTGAAGAGCCCTACAGCTTGGCTAGGAGGACTTTCATGAAAACATGGGTCACCAAGTCATTTTCCTAGTACCTTTGGGTCTATATAGTTTTTATGCAAAGATTTTTAAAGAAACGGCTAGTAAGAATGACGCCATTTTATCCCTTGAGTTTTAAACTCTCTAGAAACTTCATACAAGTAAGGAGAAAGGTAGGCTGCCTCAAACTCTTGAATTCGGGATACCTATTAAAACCTTTGCAAGCAGAATTCTAGAGACTTGAAAATCTGAGCATGACAGCTAGATATACATAAATAGAGTTTTTGACAAAATAAAACATTTTAATAGGTACTTGGATCTCAATATTTCTGGAAATTTAGTCTCTTACATCCGATCATGCTAGCCTGATTAGTACTATTAAACCGTGAAATCCCTTGCCAAGTTTGAATTAGCATCAAGGTATAATGAGATTCCTATGACTTCTTACTTGAACTGTCAGACATACGAGGGAAATATAAGACAATCATTTTTTCCACTTTACATCCCTCTTGAAGTGTGAAAACATGTTGGCCTAAATTTGCCCTCTAAAACGCTCTGCAGCAGGGATTTTCTAAAAGACGTCTCCATTAAATGCAGATTTAGCAATTAGAAATGATTATTAAGGTTTATTGACATCAAACAAAATTTGTGCTCAAATGAAATATTTGCAGAATAATGAGGTTAAATTAGTAATAATTTATCGAATTCATTGATCCTTCATCAATTAGTTCATCAGATTCCACACATAAATTATGGGTCAAAAATATGGCCAGACCTTCACTATGAAATGGTACAAAATTGTGAAAACAACCATTATGGTCTTCAGCAGCGTATCTAGCTCAAGCGAAACTATAGCAAGATATTTCAGATTCTTAAACTATATTAATATGCATGAGTTAGTGAGACAAGAGAAATAAGATTCATTGTTCACCGAGATGCTATCAGAATTTCTTCCCTTGCGGTGAAGACTTATGACTGACCCTAACCCAGTCTTGGCATCCAAATCCCTGGTTGCTTACTCACTGGAAGATGAGGGAAGACTTTAAGGTGCATGCTCACACCTCAGCGACAACAATACCAACAGCTTTTGAGGTTAATAAGAAACTGAGGATAAACCTGAAAATACTAGGAAAAGTATAGTAAGAATGTTATATACAATATTATACATTAAGCAGGAGAGATATCTCCAATGGTCAGCTGGAGGCCGAAGTTTTCCCTCTCAAGAGCGGCTAGTTTCATTGACTGGTGCTTAGCCATCCTCTCAACCATAGATTTTTCAGCCTTCTTTCCTTGCCCTTCACCGCTACCGATAGTATTACTAGAAGATTTAGTCTTGCAAGGTGTGATTATAGAGATAGATCTCTTATATCTCCTCTTTTTGAGGGACTTCCTCTTTCCTTTCTTCTTAAACCTCCTGGGAGACCTCTTCTTGACACTCTTCTTCTCAATCGTAGTAGGAGCAATCGAGAAAATAGGAATCTCCTTCTCACTTACAAACCATCTGCTCCTGAATTTAGTCGGGGAAAGTGACCTGTTTGTGTACTCAATCTCAAGATTAGTGATGAATTCAGTCCTGTCCTCCTCCTTAAGTCCACCCTTGTTGGAAGAAAGAAGGCTCTTGTGGCAATCTTTTGAACTTTCTATTTTCTTAGTGATTACAGGGGCTTCCTCAGGGATGTCACAGTCTTCAAAATAATCATTATCGTTCTATAGAAAGGTCAGACATGCTCAGAGGTATGGATAGAGACACTTGGGCAGCAAATTCACAGCTAAGTTAGGTCATACTTACCCAGTTGGGGTTCTTGCGAGATTGCATTTAACTTCTTTTGTGAAATATTATTAAATCTTCAATTGGTCCCGGCCTATTTGGGGTTTTGGGGTTTTGGGGTTTTGGGGTTTTGGGG